CAGTGACCAGCAAATGCGCAAGAGGAGAGAAGAGAAAGAGAGAGAGAGAGAGAGAGAGAGAGAGAGAGAGAGGAGAATGAGAGAGAGAGAGAGAGAGAGAGAGAGATAGAGAGAGGAGAGGGGAGAGAGAGGAGGAGGATAGAGAGAGAGAGAGAGAGAGAGAGACGAGAGAGAGAGAGTAGAGAGAGGAGAGAGAGAGAGGGAGAGCGAGAGAGCACGAGGCTGAAAGGGGTCCAGGAACGTCCCAAAAGTTTGGATAGGGCAAAAGCGCTTCTTATGACAGCCCATTCATGCATTACCACTACGCTAATTTTATGATTCAAGCAGAAGTTATATCACTGGCCTTTTGTCGTGTTGTTCTCGCACATTTATTCGTGAGGTTAAGGCACCTTCTTGTATCACATACTCAGTTTTTGCACTGTTCTTGAGGTATTCGATTGCAAGCCTCATCTCCGTAATAACTAGGAAAAATGCGTAGCTTTTTGTATTATGCACTACAAAGAGTAATGCAGTTATCTACCATGTAGGATGGATGCATTCGTCCTCCCGGAAGCTGGGAAAGCCTTTCTCTCCGAAAAAGGTCCTGACAGCGTGCTTGTAGCTGTCGAGGTATTTCTGGTCTGAGTGCGAGCTGATAAATCGCTGCAGCTGAGAGATTAACACTTTTACTTCCATGGTCGTTGCTCGAACTGAATATCGATTGATCGATTGATGGTCGATTGATTGCGGTCTCTCAGGCGCATGTAATCCTGGTCCACCGTTATCCACTCTCCTCCATCCGGTAGCCCTGAAATGATCATTTGTGGTCGAAAGGGCTCTAATCTAAAAAGCCCACTAATCATGTTAGAATCGTGAGTAGTTTGCAAGACATGGATTGCGGGCCAATTGACAGCCGTAATATCTTAAAATCATGCTCACGAATGCTAAATATGAACGACTCGACAATTATATTTGCAGTGACCTAATCGCCTCATGGCCAGTGCAGTGACAGGATCCGAGTGACGTAATTGCGGCATGTTTTGGTAGCCTTGAAATAGTTTGCTCGAAGCACTCCTCACATATTCCCGGACATATAGTTCAGAAAGTAGAGGCTTTCAGACCTTAAGAAGTGCAGGTCTGTGAGCTGCACCCAATTTTTTTAAATATGGCTTTTTAATGTCAAAACCCGATACAAATGTGAAACACTTACTTTAAGAATACGACCACAACCGAGTATGTAAGTAATAAGTAAAAATATCAAACCACGCACGAATGTAAAGAACACCACGAGAAAGGAAAAACCGAGCGCTCAGAACGATATTCGTATTCAAGTAATACGCACTTAACAAACACGCCACATTTCGGCAAGTTAACACGCGCTCGTGTGGCCGGCTGGATACCCTTCGCTCGGGTGGGGGGGGGGGGGGGGGGGGGGGGCGCGGAACAATTTGGCCTCCCTGTGATCTCAGGAACTAAGACAGCTAGATGCACCAAATTTACAGGGTGTGTTGGCTTATACGTGAACTCGCTTTGGTCAAAGTTTCAGGTTGCTAGGTCATGACCTTCGGGTCAAATGAGGCCAAAAAATGTCAAATTCCAGGTTGGTCTCCAAAGTGCCTCAAGAACATAGATAACCGTTTCTCAGCAAAAGGTCACATGCTCCTTTAAGGTCAGTGACCTTTGACATTTTGAAGGTCATGGTGACCAAAATGATACAAGATTGCTCTGGGTTTTGCATTTGAATAAGTGACAAAGATTATGCTAGGCAGAATGTTCCTTTAAAAAATATTGACCTTGGTCATGTTAGGTCAAGGACCTATTCTGACCTCTAAGAAGTCCATGGAAGATGAACAATGCGGTTCCTGCTATCAACAAATTCGAAATGAGCACCAGAAACTATTCCATACAGCAAGCCCTAGAGTAATAAAACAAGTCGTTTTTTACCTTCGTCTGACCTTCATACCTGACCTCAGGTCAATGTAATTTGCTCGTTCAATTGCTGTGTTGCCTAAGAAAGCATCTAAGAGATGTATGGCTTCGTCTAACACACTCCGTTGTTGCATCAGATTCGATGATTTCCAGAAATTGACCTCGCTGAAACCATGGTCTGACTTTGACCTGCCATAGGTCAGTGACCTCACAAGGTGCATCTAAATTTTTGATGCCAAGCGATCCGCTATTCAATTTTCTACAGGTACGCAAATCTTGGCGCGGCTACGCCGCGCCGCCTGGAAACCATCCTGGAAACATTTTTGGGGATGGTCAATTTGACCCCTCCCCCAACCGATTGCGTGTTAAAGCGCTTCAAGTAAATCAGCTCATCCGCTATAGTGGCAACTCCGACAGGGCCAGTCTGGCAGCGACTCTGACGTCATAAAAAATGTATCGTGTTGTAATCAAACGATGGCGTATTAAGAAGCATATTGACTAAATAACGAAATTGTGTTGCGTATAGCGGTCTTTTACGCTTAAAAACAAACCAATAGTTACAAGTGAGCTTATTTTATAATATCCACAATATGGGATAGCGTCAATAGCCTAATAGCCCCATTGTCTTCTAATAAGGAGCCTCCCCTTCGAAAGACGCTCACATGAGTAACGTTTTCTGGTCTTGTTTTCCTAGATTATACAAAACGTTGTAAAGCTGGAGCCATTTTTTGTCCATCCCAATAAAACCCGAATATGTTAGGTATCAAAGTTTTTGGGTTCTGTCTCCAGCTGTATTGCAGTGGATTAAACCGTTTTCATAGTGAAGTTAGCGACCGGTGGCACTACCCAACGTCTGGCCCGTGCTGGGGACAAACTGCTGGAGATTGATGGGAAGTTTTGAAAAATAAAGCAATGAAATTCCATTCACGAGAAAGCCATTACCTATTGACCGAACGGAACAAAAAAAAATTGAACCGCAGTAATCTTGCCACACAGGGATGAAATCATTGCTCGGAACCTTGATCTTTGTACCGTTATCCCAAAAATATACAATCAAAAGCATTACAGAACAAAAATGAGAGATTTACAAGATATCCACTCACAAATTTTGGTCATGAACAAATTATTCGGCGGCGACTTCAGCCCTCAGAAATTGTTTTACAGGGTCTGCGTAGCATTTTATCAAACCACATAGCAGCAGTGGCTTTGGCTCACACGTGGTAATATATATTGTTGCCATATGTGGATTTAGGATGCAAATATTTATGTACAAAGACAAGATTTATGTGGCTGATACAGGGGGCAGCGGTGCTGAAAAATGCGTACGAAGTTTAACGCACAGAAATGCGTCACAAATTATTGCGATATGAAGTTTTCTACGATTACAATGAACACTAGAACGGACCTTACGCAGAAGATGCCAACATTTGCCACCCAAATGCCATCTCCATCCTCCCTTTGTCACAAGCAGCTGGGGGAATTTTATTGAAATTTAGTTAGCTTTACGGCATGGAATAACGATTTCTGTCAGAAACACACGCGAGTGCGCGATCGTTCGGCTTCCATAAAGGTCAGGAAGAAACCAATGTCGCGCTAGGTGGTCTCGCTCGTCGGAAGACAAAGCGGTACTGCTGTGTTTTGATGGCGTATCGCAGACAGCTGTGTACCTAACGGAAAGGCTAGAAATTGTGCATGCATGACAACGTTATCAACGTGTTGTGTGGCCTAGTCAGGGGTGCCATATGAAAGCCACTTAATGCGCACATTATCCTCCAGTGACGTGTCAGCCCTAAATCAGCTGGTGCTACAGCTTCAGCTTTTTCGATCTGTATGGATCACTGTGCATAGCTATTCGTGACCGGTATTGAAGACACTTAAGGCCCCGCGAATCAGCTCCAGATCGCTACCTTCTAAACCGTTTCGATTTATCAGGGGACCTGAAATATATTCTCATCTAAAACCATAACGCGACGCCACACCACCACAACTTAAGTTGATGGGTGAAGCTTTGGAATTTCCGATAATCGGTCCACCAGATGATGAGGTTCTAAACATGAGTGTCGTGTCACCAGACAGTTTTCAGCATGTAAATGTCGAATGTCGCGTCGGCAATGCCTGTCATCTGCTCGCCAGACGTGTTACAATGATGATCGAAAAGCGCACAATTGGCCGTCCCCGGTGTACAAAAACAGAAAGCCTATCAACGTACTTTATCGTAAGTCATTTCTGTCGCA